TAATCTCCTGCTTTCTCCTGTAATCTCCTGCTTTCTCCTGGAATCTCCAGCTTTCTCCTGTAATCTCCAGCTTTCTCCTGCAATCTCCTGCAATCTCCTGCTTTCTCCACCAATCTCCTGCAATCTCCTGTAATCTCCTGCTTTCTCCACCAATCTCCTGCAATCTCCTGTAATCTCCTGCTTTCTCCACCAATCTCCTGCTTTCTCCACCAATCTCCTGCTTTCTCCTGTAATCTCCTGCTTTCTCCCGCAATCTCCTGCTTTCTCCACCAATATCCTGCTTTCTCCACCAATATCCTGCAATCTCCTGCTTTCTCCACCAATATCCTGCTTTCTCCTGCAATCTCCTGCTTTCTCCACCAATCTCCTGCTTTCTCCTGTAATCTCCTGCTTTCTCCCGCAATCTCCTGCTTTCTCCACCAATCTCCTGCTTTCTCTCGCAATCTCCTGCTTTCTCCCACAATCTCCTCCTTCTCCAACAATCTCCACCAATCTCCAACTTTCTCCTGCAATCTCCTACTTTCTCCTGCAATCTCCTGCTTTCTTCTGGAATCTCCAGCTTTCTCCACCAATCTCCTGCTTTCTCCACCAATCTCCTGCTTTCTCCTGCAATCTCCTGCTTTCTCCTGTAATCTCCTGCTTTCTCCTGCAATCTCCTGCTTTGTCCTGCAATCCCCTGCTTTCTCCTGCAATCTCCTGCTTTCTCCTGCAATCTCCTGCTTTCTCCTGCAATCTCCTGCTTTCTCCTGCAATCTCCTGCTTTCTCCTACAATCTCCTGCTTTCTCCTGCAATCTCCTGCTTTCTCCACCAATCTCCTGCTTTCTCCACCAATCTCCTGCTTTCTCCACCAATCTCCTGCTTTCTCCTGCAATCTCCTGCTTTCTCCCACAATTTCCTGCTTTCTCCTGCAATCTCCTGCTTTCTCCACCAATCTCCTGCTTTCTCCACCAATCTCCTGCTTTCTCCTGCAATCTCCTGCTTTCTCCACCAATCTGCTGCTTTCTCCACCAATCTCCTGCTTTCTCCACCAATCTCCTGCTTTCTCCTGCATTCTCCACCAATCTCCTGTAATCTCCTGCTTTCTCCACCAATCTCCTGCTTTCTCCACCAATCTCCTGCTTTCTCCACAAATCTCCTGCTTTCTCCACCAATCTCCCGCAATTTTCTGCTTTTTCCTGCTCTCTCCTATGATCTCCTGCTTTTTCCTGTGATGTCATGCTTTGTCCAATGATCTACTGTTTTTTTTTACGTTTTCCTACGTTGTCTTAATATGTTCTCCCGCTTTTTCCCCAGTCTTCATTGATATCTACGTAGCTTAATACATCGTATTTACATAGTATTTGCATGATTCTATTTTGCATGTTCGTGAGACTTAAATGGTACCCTAACCATCGTCTGTTTCACCTGATTCTTCCTATCGTGTAGCAATATGTAGCTTACACTATAAACATCCATTGGTATGAAATAGGGGGTCCAAACGAAATGTAACTAAACTGTTATGTTGGGTCTCTTCATTCCTCTTTAATACTAAGTAGTTGGGTTGATACGTACTGCAAGTGATTACGCCACAGATAAGATGTAGTTTTCTTCTTCTTTTCTACCAGACTCCAATGGACGGCTGTAAAATTGGTAGAAATTGGCAAAACAGGCTGAACGAAATACATTGTACCAGAAAAGTCAGTCGGCCATAGCCTGAGTGTCAGCCTTTTTAGCTTTCGTTCGCGGCCGGTAGCGGATGGTGGGGAGCGGACGAAAGCTAAAAAGGCTGACACTCAGGCTAAGTCGGCCATAGGATAACAATTTGCGGCCCAATTCATCAGCCTATTACTGTAAGAGTATATTTGCATTGTCCCTTTCGGAATCCATTGAAGTCCGAGAGAGACAACTGAAGAAGTGTTACGAGCAAGATTGCACGTGGGCTACACAAATACTATATGTTTAATCGCACCAATGTAACCCAACACCAGTGGCTGTAACCCAACACCACTGGCTATAACGCTACAACAGTTGCTGTAACCCAACACCAATAGCTGTAACCCTACACCAGCTGCTGTAACCCTACACCAGCTGCTGTAACCCAACACCAGCTGCTGTAACCCAACACCAACTATAGTTTGGCTGACGGGCACGTCCGTGGCCTTGACACGTTTTCCAGAAGCAGCCACCGCAGCGAAACGCACCGAAATGACAGCAGCAACTGTGTCTACTGATGACGCAGACGGTCACGTGACGCGGGGATATGTTTAGCGCCGAGAGGAACCCCCTGGAGAGGATATCGTTCTCATCATAATCGCTTTGGGAATACACAATGGTTATTAGAAACGACAGCACCAAATGTCCGTACGTCTTCAAGTTGAAAGTCAAGTCAAACTTCATTGACTGATACAATGTAAGGCATAGTGTCGCATAAGACTATTAACTAAATATAGGGTTGTATGAGACTTTAGGTAGGTATAAGACTACCAGCGTACCCAGTATTACATTTAGTTAGTAACAATCTACACGTACACAATTCCAAGCCGTACACACTTGATGGAAGACACAGTAAGAAGTGTACGGCAGAGCGTTCTACTTACTAGTTTATAAACAAATGGACTACGACAAACAAACTACAACTGATAAAACGTAACTGAAAAACTGATTGAACACCATTGGTTGTGTGGATGACATAGCAAGATAAGTAACGCAAGAAAAAAGAAATAACACCAGAGTTGAAGTCAAGAAAGAGAACTTTGCTACTAAAACTGTCAATATATCGATGCATCAATTCTATCTCTACCTTCATAACTGAACGTAGACTGGTTTTATACCTTCGTGTGCCGATATAGAACTTTTCAAGACTGATGATGTCACGTCGTAACGTCATGTTGTGTCTGGTCTTGCGGCGTCTTAAGCATCTGAAGATGACACAGTTCTGTCACGTAAAGACGTCTTCGGGGGTTTCGGCAAGGGCCTGTCTGTGTCTTAGTTGTGTACCAGAGTCTGTGTTAGTCATTGGTTAAAGACGTCTCCAGTAGACGGTCTTAGCCACAAATTTGAAGGTAAGAAAGTTAATGACAGAGGCAGGAAGTGCCTTGAGTCAGTCTTGAAGGAGACCTCCATCACTTGTAAGGCATGCGAGTCGTACAGATTTTATCGTATACGGAACCTTGCCTGTCCAGTTCTAAACCTGAATGGGTTAGTTAGGGTCAGGCTCTGCCTATCCAAAAACGTAGATTTGCCCCAGGCTTGGTTCTGGATACACCAGTTCTGAACTATCCAGAACCGTACCTGGGCATTGTTCTGAATAAAGCACGATTCTGGATGCGAATGACTATCTATAACGGTACCAGAGCAATTGATGTAGATAAAGCACGATCCTTGATACGTCTGGGCAATCTAGACCGTATCTGAGCATTGTTTTGAATAAAGCAGCACAGTTCAGTATACGCCTGGACCCTCCAATGGACTGTACCTGAGCATGGTTCTAGATAAAGCACGGTTCTAGATATAAAGCATTGCTCTGAGTAAACCACGGTTCTGTATACACCAAGTTTCGCGCGCGGCGCGCTCCTCAGCCCCCGACCTTTAAATATCCCCGGTCCGGCCCTCCCCGCACATTTATAGCCCCTCCTCACGGGACCCAAACCGCGCGCTCCCATTGGCCCAGACGACCTACAACTGATGATGCGTGCATATTTGCCATAGCAACGGTGGCAGTGACGGGGGTAAAGTTACACATATTCAGCATACATGGCAGCGGGCCCATATTAAACTGTGGGACGGCCCGACTCTGCGCACTCTCCACTTTGGGTCCGGCTAGGATAGACTCTCCACCGCCGCTCGGGATTTTCCCTCGTTCACCGTCCGATCTGAGAGGTACGTATTTTCCTACAACAAACTCTCTATTGTATATTATTATCCGTACGCATCTGTAGTTAGATGGGGATAATTTGGAGCAGGATGTGGAGCGTGTGTAGAGTTAAGAAGGAGGCGGTACCGGTTAGGCGTTCTGCCATGTTGGGTTGTTTCCAATAAGTCTAGACTCCGGTATTTGTGCCAGGAGAGAGAGAAAAATATTTGTGGGCAGTTCTCTTATTTCTCTCCTATGTTTTATATCATAAAGCTGGCTGCAGATTTCTGTGCGTTTTTACGGGTTGATTGTACTTTCCCTGTTCCTGAGCGGGTAGAGAGAAAGATGCCGTGCATAGCGCGCATTCCTCACCACGGGCACTTCTACTATATACGGAACCACCGCTCCACGATTTCCTTAGAATTGTACTTCAAGAATTGCCTCATAACTTCTTCTCACAGCTTTGTCTTTGCAGTAGATTATTTTACTATGCGGTTTGATGGGGTTAAATTTATCGCAGTATTTTTCCAGGCGGAATCGTGTTCTATTGTTGGGTATTTCGGGGTCCCGTTTTCCTTTTATGGTATGACAGAAGGATACAGTGATCAGGCCAGTGACAGCACAGAAGTGCCCCGCCCCCCTCCCACCCCTAATTATACATTTTAAGGTACAACCAATTAACTTTGATAGGTTCTATGGTGACTTTACTATGATGAACAATAGGAAAACAAAATTACTGATTTTATGTTGTAGAACTAGAATGCTTTCTTTTACTTTCATGGCTTTTCGATCGAGTGAAGCATGGACTATAGGTTGACAGGAATGCAGGGTAGCCGGGGTTGAGGATATTTTTAGCGGAATTCTTTCTCCTGAAATCGTGCCTTGGGGATGCCTGGCTTTCTTCCGGAGTTGGAAGACTTTAGGGCTCATAATTTCTTGTGATTTCTTAAAGTGTGAGTGTGAGACGTTATGTACTATTGCGACCAGAAGAAAGCTTACGTTTAGAGTTGTACCCGATTCGGGTCCATGTTAGGGTTGGGGTATCGGAGATAGGATTTCGGTTCTATAGATAGCCTGACACACACGTGGTACAAGGTGTAGAATTAACGAACGCCTCTCTGATAGCAAGAAAGAAGCTATAGCTTACTAGGAGCACGCCTTAGACTATCGTAGTACATGTATATACAAAAGCCTATCCACTAACCATATAGAGATATAGGATAAAATAGGTTACTGCTAGGGTACACTGTTCAGATAGCATTTCGTTCCTATACATAGTTTGACACACATACACGTTTTGTAATAAAGCCAAGCATTGTACAGTCTATGGATAGTGAAAATTGCAAGCCTATATCTAAAGTCAATCTGTCTGAAATAGCCCAAAAGAGTCGGCAAAATATTCTCGCAAGCCAAAAGCACTTTCTCTTTTCTATCCGATCACTTTCGCTCACCGAACAAGGACATGCAGGAATACCACAGCGCAAAATCTGTGACACCAACAGATTGCCTAAGTGAGGAAAACGCCACACGTGTGAGGAACCTAACGAGATTAAACCTTAATCTTATCTTGCAACATGTACTGCTGGAATGCCTGTCTCAAGCCTCGATGCAGACTTTTAGGGACGTACAGAAAGTGTTAAAACCTAGCTCCATCTCTTAGACAGTGGCTATGTAGTGAATACGTCTGCGTACGTACATGTAGTGAAGACTGCTGTCTTGCCTGTGCATGCAAAATCGCTGGCTAAATATGATTTGAAGCGTAGAGAAGGTAGCCACTCCGCGAGGCCTGATTGCGAGGCTACAGGACCGCGGGTTGGTTACAAGGTAAACAGAGAACCCGCTGACGCAAATACAGGCTGATACCGTATCGCCTGCTGTTCCTGGCCGGCCGCCAGGGGGCGTGACAACGCGACAAGTGAGAAGAACCAGGCGAGTCCGCAGATTTGATCCGGTTCTAGAAACTTCTGTTGTAGCCAGAACCGTGCTTTATCCAGAAATATGCTAAGGACACAGTTCTGATAGTCAACGCGAATCCAGAATCATGCCTGGGCAAATCTACGTTCTTGAATACGCGGAGACTATCCAGAACCGTGTCTGATCCTAACCCTAACCCATTCAGGCATAGAACTAGATAGACACGATTTCAAGCTACTTCTTTTTCCTTAAAACGTGGAGTCTGTCGTCAAAGTCAGTCAGTGTGCGAAATGTGAGGAAAACCCTACCAAAAGCAGCCATTCAAAAACTCCCAACGCCGGTACAGTGTCTCATTCTGGACTTTCCTGAATTCTGCATATGATATGATATATGATACTATACGATATGATATGATATGATACGATACGCCATGAAAAAATATATGATAGAATATGATATGACATCGCGAAGAAATTGGATAGCAGCAGTGGAGGCGATTTCTCTGCACTTGTTTCTGCGACACCAACAGAAAATTATAATCTATTATCACTCCACTTTGAAATACTTTCTTTAGAAAAGTGGCATTCATTGCTAAGAGGTCAAGGTAGAGTATTTCTTACACTTGAGCCCCCCCCCCAACCGTTTCATGCAAGCGAAACAGCCGTAAATATTTGCCCGACAAAAATAGACTCCTATCTCTTAAAGACGTCCACGTCTGGTTCTTGTTCCTCGCAGTCTTGAAGAACCAGTGCGAGATTAGAACTAGCACATAGCAATGGTGCTCGTACTGTAGGTTTTGTTTCGGGGGGTGGGGGGTGTCTTAACAAGGACGACAAAATACAGAACAACCTCAGGGAAGAGAAATGGCTCTAAGACAGGCATTAGTTCCTTAGAGGTCATGGTGAGTTCCTTAGACATGTTAGAGGTCATTTTGAGTTCCTCGTAAAAGATAGGGGAGGCAAGAATGTTTGCAATTGTAACGTTACATGAGGGCTTTTAAATCTTAAATGCATATTTTTAAGGACATTTTTTTATAGAAACATTTTCCTCCAGTCCGCCCCTAGAAAAGACTATGAAATCATATCGAAACTTGTCCTCAGTATGTCCTTATATGTTCCCATCACCGTTAAAACGTGCAGTTGAGGTAAACATGTTCAAGCCTGTCGGGTGTTCCAGGAGCTTGTTTAGATCACTCGGACTTCTCCAGACCAGCTTTTCTAACCTTTATCCAAACACGTCCCGCTAAAACGGACCACAGAGCGCGCCATTGACGTCATCACGCGCTAAAAGCCTCTCACGGTGTTTGTGGATTTAGGGACTGTGACGTCATAACCCAAATGTGGTAGTTATCGTAAATTAAGGCATTTTTAGATGTAACAAGTTCTTAGTCATTGTATCATGTCCGTGACTTTTGTGTACAAAACCCATAATTCGGCTGTGAGGCTGCAAAGGGGTTTGATCTCACAATAAACAATAAATCCAAAGACGTCCTTACTTATGAACCTACTTCTTGTGCTTTGTTAAAGAATTCTCTGTATTTTTGTGAAACAAACAACTCAATTGCAAGTCAGGTATTCCCTTAGGCCTTGGGTCAGTTGCTTTGGGTGTCAAAGGATAACATTTAAACACTATCATTATATCTTTTTTATGGAATTTAAGAGTTCATAGAAAAACTTAAGTGAAACAAACAAACAAACGCAATACCAAGTCCTGTATTCCCAACATCCATTGTCTTTTGACAACAGACATCTAAAAGCTATCATTGTTTTATTTTTTTCTTTTTGTTGTTGAGGGGGCATGGGGTAGAATTTAGGATCTGTCAGGGAAATGCCAAATTTGCCGTTTGTTTCACTTTAGCCATTGCAGATTGACGTCAGAAACCTTAAAACAATTTCACAGTATCAGAAGGTTTACAGTCTCAGCAGTATAACCGTAACGCCAGTGTTTGAAGCCTTAAGTCATGGCGTCAGAACGTACAAACTACCGGAAGAAAACTGACGGCTCCAGACCGGCACTTAAGATGTTTCATGTCTTGAGAATGACTTACAGCTACCAAGGCAAAACATGTCTTACAGTAAAGTGCTCCTTTCCTTATCTATGTGTAAGACATATTGACTTTCATGTGGTCTACAAATAACCCGTTGGTGTCGGTCTGTATGGAGAAGGGCTATGGTTTGGGTTTGGGAGGCCTGGTAGAATAATCTCCAAGCAGATCTTTCGGTGGCTGCAAAGACAGTATCAAATTGACAAGGCTGTATCCATTAGCCAGACAGACAGTATCCATTGGCCACCCTTTGCTGGCTAATGGACACTCCTCTGGACGATGGCCTTGCTACTATGATCTGCTTGGAGATTATGGTAGAGGCTAGATGGAGTTTATACAGCTCGATAGAGTCCGGTCTGTATAGATAGTATTAGTGTTAGGGTTTGGGTAGGCTGGTAGAGGCTAGATGAAGGTTACGTTTGAGTGTGAAGTTGCAATTGTTCAGTCGGGTTTTGAAAACCGGTTTGAAAGGAGAGGGTTATGGTTAGGGTTTGGTAAACCTGGCAGAGGCTAGATGAAGGTTACGTTTGAGTGTGAATTTGTGCAGTCGGGTTTTTAAGACCGATTTGTATGGAGAGTGTTAGGGGTAGAGTTTTGGGAAGCCTGGTAGAGTCTAGATGAAGTTTATACTAGCTGTTTGAGTGTGAAATGGTGCAGGTTTTAGAGAAGTGCGGTCTGTGTTGAGAGTGTTAGAGTTAGGTTTAATAGATGATGTTTAGACAGGCCGTTTGAGTGTGAACTGTGGTGCAGTCGGGATTTGAAGAAGACCGGTCTGTATGCACGTGGCTATGGAGAGTGTTAGGGCAAGGAGGTTATAGGGTTTGGAAGCCTGGTAGAGTCTAGATGAAGTTTACACAGCTCGTTTGTATGTGAAATGGTGCGGTCGGGTTTTAAGAGTCCGGTCTGTGTGCAGAGTAAATATAGGCACGCGAGCGGCAAGGGTGTACACAGTAGTCTCCAGCAAACTAACAAACAACGCGGGTTCAAAAACAGTAACAATTTCTAAGCAAAATAATGGAAGGAACGTTTCGCCACCGTAGAATTAATTTGCCGAAAACCCAACGGTGT